TCTTTACTCTGAGATAATGTCTAGCTTTGTTGCTGAGGTGTGCTTCTTGTATACAGCAGAATAGTGAATTCTGTTTTTTTATCCTCTCTATTAACCTGTGTCTTTTTATTGGGGAATTGAGTCCATTGGTTTGAGAAATATTAATGACCAATGATTGTTGATTCTTGTAAATTTTATATTGGTGGTAGTGGTATGAGTGTATGTACTTCTTTTCTTTTCTTTTTGCTGATGTGAAATAATTTATTTTCTGTGTTCTCTTGGATGTAGTTACCCTTACTGTGTTGGAGTTTTCTTTCTAGTATCCACTGTTGTGCTTGGTTAATGGAAAGATAGTGTTTAAATTTATTTTTGTCATGGAATAATATCTTGTGTTTTCCATCTATCATGATTACAAGTGTTGCTGAGTATAGTAGTCTGAGTTGGCGTCTGTGGTCTCTTAGGATCTGCAAGATATCTGTCCGGGCCTTTCAGCTTTTAAAGTCTTGTTGAGAAGTCTAGTGTGATTCTAATAGGTTCTGCCTTTATATGTTACTTGGCCCTTATCCCTTGCGGCTTTTAATATCTTTTCTCTGCACATTTAGTGTTTTTATTATTATATGATGGGAGGGTTTTCCTTTTTGGTCAAATCTATTTGGTGTTCTGTAGGTTTCTTGTACATTTATAGGCATCTCTTTCTTGATGTTAGGAAAATTTTCTTCTGTGATTTTGTTGAAGATATTTTTGGGCCTTGAAGCTGGAAATCTCCTTCTTCCTGTTATTCTTATATTTGATCTTTTTATGGTGCTCCAAATTTCCTGAATGTTCTGTATTAGAAACTTTTTAGATTTAGCATTTTCTTTGACTATTGTATCAATTTCTTCTGTTGTATCTTCTATGCCTGAGATTCTCTCTTCCATCTTTTACAGTCTGTTGATGATGCTTTCATCTGTAGTTCCCGTTCTCTCTCCTAGGTTTTCCATTTCCAGGATTGCCTCAAATTCTGTTTTCTTTATTGCTTCTGTTTTTTTTTTTCAGGTCTTAAACAGTTTTATTTATTTCCTTCTTCTGTTTGCTTGTGTTTTCCTGTGTTTCTTCTTAATTTCCTTCACATGTTTGATTGTATGTCCCTGTACTTCTTTGAGGGATTTATCCATTTCCTGTTTAAAGGCCTCTTCATAAGATTAGACTTAAAGTTGTTTTCCTGAGCTTCAGGTATGTTAGGATATCCAAGGCTTGTTGTAATAGGATAGTTGGGTTCTGGTGATGTATTTTGTTGAGTGTATTCTTAAGCATCTGGTTATCCCTGTTATTGGCAGTTGTGGAGGTCCCTGGTAGACCCTGCTGGCTGTTAACCTTCAGTAGTCACTGATGCCTGCTGCCTCTGACACATGCAGGTAAAGCTGGGACCCAGGAACTGGCATTTGGAGGTCACATAAGAGGCCTCACCACTGCTGACAGTCCCCAGTGGCTGCTGCCTCTGGGACTGCAGGAAGAATTGAGTCCCAGGGACTGGCACTCAGAGGGTACAAGCAGAACTCACCTCTGTTGACAGTCTCCAATGGTTACTGTCCCTGGGGCCACAGGCAGAGCTGGTACCCAGGAGTTGGAGCATTGAGGACACAGAACAGACCTCACCTCCGCTGGTAAACTCCAATGTCTGCTGTCTCTGGAAGTGCAGGCAGAGGTGACATCCTGGAATTGGTGCATAGAGACTCTGTGGTGTGCAGAGAACAAACCTCACCTCTGTTGGTGGTCTCCAATTGCCTATTTCTTTTATTGTATCTTCAATGCCTGATATTCTTTCTTCAATGTCTTGTATTCTGTTGTGTCAAGTTCCAGTTCACTTACCTAGATTTTCCATTTCCAGAATTCCCTCAGTTTGTTTTCTTTATTGCTTCTATTTTCATTTCAGGTCTTGAACAGTTTCCTTCACCTGCTTGTTTGTTTGTTCTTGGCTTTCCTGTCATTCTTTAAGAGATTTATTCATTTCCTCCAATTTTTTGTTTGCCTTTTCCTTGATGTTTTTAGGCAACTTTTTTTTCATTTCCTCTTTAAGATCTCTTTCATCTTTGTAATGTTTTGTTTGTTTGTTTGTTTGTTTTGCGCTTCAGCTGTATTGGAATATTTAGAGGTTGTTGTGATAAGATGGATAGCTGGGCTGTGGTGGTGCCATATTGCCTTAGGTATTATTGGCTGTGTTCTTACGCTGGCATTTAGGTACCTGGGTTTGGTATGATTATAGATCTCAATGCTGATTTCTGAGTTTGTCTTTGTTGGATGGGTGTTTTGTTCCTTGGTTTCTGTTTCCTCTTTGCTCTGGTCTTTGTGGCCTGGATTTCTGATGGATCAATGTGGCCTCTGATCCAGTAGGAAGTTTCTAAACAGTTTGGGGGCTGCTGGTGGCTAGTTGGCCTTTGGTGCAGCAGGGATCTCTGTTCTTTTGATGGCATGTCCTCTATCTATTCTTCTGACTAGTGTGGCCGGGGCCTGAGCAGCTGAAGACTTCCAGAGTTGAGGGTAGGGGCTCTGGGACAGGGAGGACAGTGTGGAGATGGGTGGGCTGGGTCTTTAGAAAGCAAATCTAGGGAGTGGGGCAGTTCAGCTGGCAAGCAGCTCACTCAGCTGCTCTTCTGACTGGTGTGACCTACACTTGAGCATGGGGCATCTACTGGCCTTTTACGAATTTTTAATTTTTTTAAATTTATTTTCAGTCTCTAGCATTGAAGATGAATATAAGGATCAAAGTAAAGCCATTTACGCCCCAAATTCAGGAAATAAAACATTTCTTCACTTCCAACACCACTCAGATAAGCCCCCACCCAGCGAAGTCTGTCGGAAGACATGCCTGCTCCCCACCCAGCAGAGTGACAAAGCACCACAGCTTCTATCTGCCTATTTCTCAGCCACACTGTCCCACAAGGTTCTACCGTGGAGTTCCTGTCCCCTCAAAGCCAACCTTCTTCACTTTCATTTCTCCAGGAAACACAGTAGTGCAGGTGGCTACCAAAACTCTGGGCAGAGTCCACTCTTCTCTTTATAAGCTTCAGAACAAAAAAGTAGAGCCCACTTTCAACTTCAAATGTAACTTTGAACTTGGATCTTCTCCTGAGCTGCCTGCCGATATACAAAGTTAATATTCTCTCATGATGCTGGACAGCTGCAGTAAGCTCAATTCCTAGTGATCGGTGAATAAAAATGGTTTAATGGAACATGACATAATGAGCATGACATGGCCAGTGCCATCTCAAAATCAGAGCAGCTGTCACTACCTGTACTTATGATACCCTTGTGTGACTGGGCTATTAACATTCCTTGGTAGAAGAAGTTGGGGAAAGGTCAGCAGGGCCCTGCCTTAAGTAACAGCCACTGGCTCTCTCCTGATCCTCCACAGTTGGTCATGATCCTGTCTAGCTGCAGACAGTGTCAGAGAGTTCCAGAGTACATACATAGGAGGAAGAAGGCTAACTGAAGGCATTCCTTCTATGTAGCTTCAAAAGGTAACTGTCCATGACAAGGTAGGACTTTCCAGTTGATGGAGCTACGTAGGGGCCAACCACTCTCCTGTGAGTAACCCCTCAACCATACCCTTGCAAGTAAGTTCAATAATCCATCGGTTCGCCAGGCTGGACTTGAATTAAATCATTTTTTTGTCTGTGTCATTGACATACAATTTGTTCACATCTACCCAGAAAAAGGTAACCCAACAAGGGAAAGCAAATGAAGGTCTAAGATACAATGTGTTGCTAAGCCAGGGTGTTGAGTAGTTAGCTGAATTAATTCTTATATTTAAGTACATGATTTGGACTTAGAAGAATACAATGCCATTCTAAGTCTAGTGGCACCTGTATTCTATTCTCCACTAAAGTACTTTAAAGTGGGCTTCTGTTGCCAAGAGCCGGGAAAGAGATGCTCAGAGAACAAGGATTTGAGATGACCATGTTGGGAACATTTTTAGAGATTTGCTCCTAGTGGGTAGCCTCTGGTTCTAACTAATCTATGATTTATCTCAGTACTTTGTCTCATCTACCTGGAGTAAGATTAGATACATACATGACTGCCACTAGGGTAGGGGAGGGTATGAGGATGTAGAATGATACCGTTTGGAATGAAGGCAGTGAGCATGGATGTGGGTCAAAGTCAGATTTACAGAGAGCAAATAAACATGAGACATTACTGAAATAGACGATGAAAGTTCAAACCTGATTAGTCCCAGAGAGATACTGAGTGGACACAGACTGTTTCGTACATTACCCTTCAGCAGGAGTTTCCATGGAATATATGAATATTCTCACCTTACTGGTAAAGAAAGCTTTTCAGAGGAACTAAACAACAGCATTTAAAGTCAAAGCAGGTGGATTCTAAGACAAGCATTCTCTCTGATGCACCTTTCTCTTTCATATTATCTCCAGCCCCAATCTGAATTTCTGATGGCCCCATCTCTAAAAGACAATGATGAAAGTTAAATACTTTAGACCCTCAGGCATGTGGCTCTAACCTCAGTCTTCATACTTTTATGTCTTGTTCTTTAGCCCTGCATCTAAATTGGCATTATTCTACTTTGCCAAATATTTGTTCAGCTCCTAAGACTTTTGCCATGTGAAACCTTCTGTCTTCATGAGCATCCCCACCTCTCTGTCTGTAGATGCCACGTTCATTTCAGAATATCCTACTAAATGTCACCTCTCCCATAAGCTTCTTGGAGGACCAAACCAATATACCAATATATTGTCCTCTGCTGTGGACTTGACAGAACTCTACATCTCTCTCATAACATCTACCAACTTCCACCTTATCATACGTGTTTTGATTGAATCTCTTCTCTTAGTATCTACCATATATATACTACCTAGGACAGTAACACACTATTTTTGCATTTGCCACCAACAGTGCCTGACAAATGCTATGTATGAAATCCATGCCTAGTGTGCATGTATTAAAGGAATTAACCCCAAAATAAGTAGGCCTTCCTGGAAGAAAAATTATAACCTAAGTGTTAATAATTGGCTAATATTTTTAACCCTAGCTACAAAAATAAAATTTCTTATCTCTTCATTTCCAGACAATGTTCAAATACCCCATCACTCATTGTGTTGCTGCCCCAGGCGTGTATCGGATGATTCTTCAGCAGAAAATGGCCAAGTATGTAAAACTGGCTGATAAAAGCAACCTTTGGGTAGGATTTTAATGTTTTTGATGTGCCATGGTTTGTTTTTCCTTTGTTTTTTGTTTTGTTTTGTTTTTGATGGTTGGTGTGTGTGTGTGTGTGTGTTTATGTATGTGTGTGTAATAATAATTATCAGTCTAATCAGTTAGTTCAAGACATAGACCTGTAGCCTTACACCTTTGTAGATGTATTCATTTGTGTGTGGGTTTATTATTTGTGACATAACAAAAACAAAAATACAAAATTACCTATGATGAAAATTTCCCAGTTAACAAACTTTTAAAAATGCCTGTGCAATCACTCACCTGAGCTGAATCAGAAACAGAACTTTGTCAATGCCTCAGAGACTTCTGTGTGCCTCCTTGTATTCCCTAAAAAAAAACCACCGTTCATTTTCTTGAAGGATAACACATCTCTCACAAAAAGCTGTATAGTTCTGTTATGATCCTGGGGGTCTTGTCCCTCACCACTTATGTTTTATAAAGTTGTTCTTCTTAGACACATATAAAGACCTTCTAGAGTGAGTTCGTATGAGTACTCTTGTCTCCCTTTTGTTACATCAACATCCAAACTTAACAAAAACATCATCAATGTGACCCAACACCTTCACCATCACCCACTCACTCCCTGCGAGAAGTGTTAAAAGAGACTTACCGAGAGGGAGCGGCATCTGTCTGGCTGTGGCCATTAGGAAAAGAACAGAAAGTAGACTTAAAAGTGAAAGAGCAGGAAGATGAATGATCGAAATGACCAAGCTGTATGCTCTTAATGCATCGTATTTCCAGTAGAGCATCCGTGCCTGACATCTTTGCCTTCCCGTAAGTCTCAGGTTCCCCACCCTGAAGCATTGCGTTACTGGAGGGGAGAGCCTGCTGCCTGAGGAGTTTGAACAGTGGAAGCAAAGAACAGACATTCTCATTCATGAGGTCTACGGACAGTCAGAAACGGTAGGTGAACAGGTACCTTCTGCACCACTTGAATGGGCTCACCTACAGAGCACAGGTAATGGGCTACTCAACCCAATGTATGACTCAAAGCCAATGGAGGGCTTTGGGGTTCAACTTTGCAGAAAGAAATTTTATAGCTCACCAATTCGTGAAGAGACCAATGAGCTGAAGGCTGTTAGACCAGACTTATAAAGACACTTCGATGCTATGCCTGGGGTTGTTAGCCCAGAGGAGTCCCATAATGGTACTGGAATAGAATAATCTCTCCTGCAATATGGAGACCACTTTCAGCAGATCCTGCCAATTCTACCCTTCTCCTAGAGCAGCTACATAAAGAGATGGTTGGGAGTGGGCTTTCAAAGTTCGTGTGTGGGTGTTGAGGAGGGCAACACAGGTTAAATGATAAGATTGTAGCAGCAGCAAATGAGGAAGCAAAGACTTTCTCTACATGCCACAAGCACACACGTGTACACTCATGCACACACTTAATGGTATCCCAGAGTGTCGCTGAGTTTCCAGATAGTCAGGGCATTTACAGTATCGTGTACCTTATGAAACTCAAGAGTTCATTAGTGGTTGTCTCTCCCAGACGTTTGCCATTAATGTCTAATAGATGGTTGAAGCCACTTCCCAGTATCCTTAATAAACTGATGTCTGATATTTCAGGCTCTAGAACGCATTGGATATTTTAGATATTGGTCACATATACTTGTCTGCTGTTTTTACGAAATCAAACAAACAAATTAGTGAGTTGATTTGCTTCCAACCTATAAAAATGGTGTGACTCTGGACCTGTTGCTGAATGACTCATAGTTTACACACAGAGGAGGAGAAGGGAGGATGAGAAGAACACGCCTCACTGGTGACTCCAGCCCTTTTACATGAATGATGCTTTCTTCCTCCAAGCACTCTATATTCTTCATTCAATCACACTTTCCACACTGACCAACAGTGAGAACAATGGCTTCCCTCACCTACAGACAGAGCGATGGCCTCCCTCACCGATGCTAAGAGCAATGGCCTCCCTCTCTCACCTACAGTGACAGTGACGGCCTCACTGACCTACAGTGATAGTGATGGCACAGCAGATTTGAAGAGCATCTTCATCCAGGAGCTCAGCCCTGTTCATTAGAAACCTCAAAATCTTAGGCCTATCAGTCCATCTTTCTGAGTGTCACCATCCTCCTTTCTAATATGGATATTATTATAATGCCACTATTGATGAATCATCATCCATTAAGTTCTGGCCATGATGCCAAGCTCATAGTTCCCATCAAAGGTACTATGGTCATTGTGCATTTTAAATAGGCATTGTGCCAGATGCTAAGTGTACACAAGTGAGTGGGACAGTCTATACTTTAGGGATTCTTGATATCCAGTGAGGGAAACAGACAACCAAACAATAGTACATGTGAACTTGAACTGCACAAAAGTACTGTGTCGAGAAAATACCACAAAAAAAAAGAATATTGGCATCTGAATAATAATACTTAGTATAGTCTTCAACTGAGTGTTTGGCATTTACTTCACACTGAGTAAAAAGTTTCCCCCATAGAGCCATGTGTGCTGTGTGTGCTGGTAGCCTGTCACTTAAGAGGCTAAGCAGAGGATCACAAGTTCAAGTCCAGTCCAGCTTATGCTACATAGTAAGTTCCAAGCCCACCTGGACACAATAGAGAGGCCTTATCTCAAATACCAAGAAAAGGGGAGAGGGGAGTCATTTCCATAGATTCTCAAGAAGAATGAGAATGAAGTGTGTTCTTTGTCTTCTTTCAGCTGAGGAGAAGACAGGCATACTTACTGTAAAGTACTAAACATAAAGAGAATGCCAACTCCATGGAGGAACTACGTACACTGGGAAGACGGACAGGGTTAAGGGATACCGGCAGAGGGACAGCATAAAACTCTAAACCATCTAGGCCTATCCCCAAAAAGCTGAGCCAGGATTCCTATTATTATGAAATTATCTGTATTACCAGGTGGGTATGTATGTTCTACAGACTTACAGCCTTCTCATGGCAAACTGGCTCATGCTGGTTAGACAGTCTATACTCCATCTGAGATCCAGCCCATGTTGAGAATAACAAGAGTCCTTTGAATGGAGTAGGGTCAATGCCTTGAACCTAGAGCCTATTCTCAACAAATGGCCTCTATTGTGTGATTGCTTTGGCCAACCTCTGTCTTTTTCTTTCTTTCTTTCTTTCTTTCTTGGAACAGGGGATATCTTGTGCTATCAGCCAGGACATGGAGGTCAAGCGAGGCTCCATGGGGAAGGCCATTTTACCCTTCGACATCCAGGTCTGACCTTCGGATACAGCTGGGGAGTACTTTATAGGAGCCCTGTGTGCTGTGATGGCAGGTGGTAGAACCAGCCTCATCCTTCCCCCCGTCACCCTGCTCCCTGGTTGGCCCTGGCTCCCTGTGGGAGCTTCAGGTGGGAGGTGTATGACTGTGGACACCGAGGCAGCTCACAGAGAGATGCATCACACAGTGTGCAGGAAAGAATAATAAATAATACAGGCACGTGACACCATTTTCCACTTTGGAAACACTGCAGTAATATCTACATTCCCATGAAACAAAGAGCCTCTTCTCTTGTTTGGGCACCATATTTGCTGATTAAAATATTTTGTCAGTTTTATTCTATTTTCTGACAGTTTTTCCATGGGTAGATTGCATTTATCTTATTAGTGTCTCCTGGTGAGCCAAGCAGTGGAATAAAGGGTAGGATGAGTCCCCCATGGTGGGATTCACAAGCTCCTTGTTCCAGATCATCGATGAAAAGGGCAACATCCTCCCGCCCAACACTGAAGGATACCTTGGCATCAGGATCAAGCCCACCAGACCTCTAGGCCTCTTTGTTGAATACGAGGTAAGGGTGCCCACCCTCCCCCCTCCAGCCTCAAGCATGCATGTGGGTTGCACTGAACCCTGAGACAATTTCAAGTTATCTTCTCTTCACTCCAACTTGAGGAAGGCCATTTTAACTACACTCTAAGCTGTCGGCACATAGTCACATCCCTTTCTGTCCTAGCCCACTTCAGATTTAAGAGCTAAATGTTAGGATAGAAAGAAGACTGACCTCAGAATCACCAGACAGGGTCTCCAATAAGCCCAACTGTCCCTTTGCAATTGGAAGTGTTGGCACATCTTGCCCATGTCAAATGAACAGAGCATGTCCAGCATCCACATGCCCTACATGAGAAATAGGGTTGAGCTATAAGAAAACCCGCTGACGTTTTTGATCATACAAACTCTGACCTTCCTGCTTAATAGTGATCCCAAAGAGCGGATTCTTGGGCTTCAAGACAGACCATGGAAGGGTGACCAGATTCTGACACTAATCTCAGGCTCCATCTCCTTTCTCCAAACATTCTTCACCTGCTGTTGTGACTGTGTTCACACCACAGCCTCAGGGAGCAGTCCTGTGGGTGTTTTTTACAAATCCCCAGTAATTGCAATAGGCAATTACAGGCATGCGCATACATGTACATGCACATCCATGATTCCCAAACACAGGTATTATATGTTGTATAAAACATATGTGTGTGTGTGTGTTCATTTTTCTTTTCTCTGTCTTAGAGTTTTGTTTCTGAGACTTAAGACTAAGAGCCTGGTTTTAGTAACAGGATCACATAACACAGTGCCCTCTGGAGGCCACAGTGTAAGGACTCCTCCAAGGAGACCTGGTTTATTGTTGCTTGTTTTGGAATAAAATGGAGTATAAAATTTATTTTTTTAATGCGCACATTTGAATTCATAACAGAGTGAAACCCTCACCATCATCTGTCTCCAGAGAATCTACAGCCTAAAGAGAAACCCTGCACTCGTTGCATGGAAGCACCCACTGCTTTCCCCTTTTACCCCTCAACCCCAGCATCTACTTACTGCTCAGCTCCAGCATCTGCTCACCTCTCACCCCTCAGCATCTGCTCACCCCTCATCCTTTTTCTGACTTTGTGAAATTGCCTATTTTGGATAATTCCGATCGGTAAGATCACGTGACACAGCTTATTTCACTTACCTCAAATTGTTAAAACTGATTATATACTGGAAAAAGTAGTGTTTATTTGTTTTGTTTCAGAGAGATCATCTTAAGATCACACCAAAACAAGAAAATGAAACTTTCTTCTTATATGTATTTCAAACAGCAAACACAAGTATAAAAACATATTAAAGTGAAAGTCAGGGGACAAAATTTAGCCAAGGCAACATGTCAAGGGAATAAAACAGTTCTATAAACCTAAGAGTCCTGTGACCCTGCCTCAGGGCACAGAGTCCTCCTGTCCTCTCCGTCCTCTGACAGGCCAACACAAGGAAGGCTGAGCAATGCCTTGGTGTTGGGTAATGTCTTGGTTCAGGGAGTGCAGAGGCTCTATGACCTATACGTTCATCTTACACTTAGTCTTTAGAATAAACAAATTTGCTCTCTTTATAAATCCAGTCTGCTATAATATGAGTGAGCACGAGTTAACCATTGTTGTAAAATTCTGCCGTTCTTCAGGAACACTCCAAATGGAAAGGACAGGAGCTTTATGGTAGCAGGAGCTGCAAATAGAAGCAGCTGGGGTTTCCCTAGCATCTTTCTAAAGAGCTGTGCAAAGCTCGGGGCCATCTTAGCAAGCTAAGAGAAGCAGAGTGCTGCATCATTTCAAGCAGTTAACAGAGCACCGGCTTAACTGACTGCCATATCAACAAGGAGTTGTCCATAAAACCTTCCTTCCAATGGAAGAAGTGTTTTCCTCCATTGTGTATTTGAACCCCGCTCCACCCCTTCCCCTTCTTCTGAGTCTCTGGTAGTGGACCTTCGGTGGCCCTGGGATGTTCTTCAAGTCCCTTAGGTTCTGTTCACTTTGCTACCTTTCTCCCTCTCTCTCTTCCTCTCTCCCTCTCTCTCTTCCTCTCTCCCTCTCCCCTCTTCTTTTTCTTCTTCTTCTTCTTCTTCTTCTTCTTCTTCTTCTTCTTCTTCTT